GATCTGTTAGATTATCCATGCTTTTCTTTACTAAGTAAGTGTTAACTGAGAGGCATTAACAAATACAAGGCTGGAAGCTATCTAAGAGGAAACCAAGCCACAGATACCTTTACAAAAAAGCCACAATAAACAAACCATGCAATTTTTAAAAAATCCCTTCAACTTCTTTTTTTTCCCCTCTCAGGTTCTAGGCAGTAGAATGATTATATTATCATCCAAATATTAAATACAAAATGGAAATTTGCTTTTACTTTAGAAGCCAACTTTAAACAGCAATTAGCTTTTGTATATTTTTAACTTGAGAGCTATTGCAAGACAGAAGAATGGTGAAAAAAAGCCTTCTCACCGACTCGAATCCTTTCCAATCTGGCCAGAACACCAAGAGAATGGAGACTGCTTGGTAGGTGGAGATAAATAAATTCCCTCCTCTTGGATGGGCAAAGAGAGTTAGATGAGCAAGGGCTCCTTTAGCAGACCAGTCTGGCAGGAGGAGCTGTGATTCCTGGCAAGTGACACATTTTCCAAAAGAAATGGCCAGGGGCTACATTTCTGGGCTCCCTCTAGGAACAAGTTGTGATGGAAGGAAGGTTAGAGTTCAGAGAAGAATGGCCAGGCGTCCATAGTGAGAGACAGACATGCAGATGGACATGGGTGGAGCTGGCTGACGCTACCAGTCACTTGTTTGACCCAGTCATCAAGACACTGAGATGTCAAGAAGCAAAGCTATTGGTGGGAGATTCGTCAGAGAATCTCATCTCCTTGGAGATGTTCATATAGTTTCAAAATTCTTTATCCTTACAGAGAATCATGTGGACATAGGACCAGCAATGAAAATGCAGCCATGCTGGGGAACAGTCGGAGGGGAGAGGGCTCTTTGGCCTCTCTCAGTTAGTGTCCTTCCACTGGCTGGGGCTGGAGTATCTGTGTACATTAACAAATGCATTTTAGCCCCTCTGATAGAACAGCCTTGCACAAGCTGGGGCTGCAGAAATGAACAGGGGCTATTGTAGAACAAAGGGATTGCACCTTCCTACCTTCGAGGATGATATTCCAGCAAAGACCTGCTCTCAAAGGAAACACTGGCTTGGACGTCTAATAGACCACTCAGGCACAGGGAAGCTATGGGTTTGGAGTCAGCTAAAGCATAACTGTAGTACATCTGTCACAGAGAATACCACACATGGGAGCACTTCACACTTAGAGCAAGAAAAGACATGCCTCTCAAGAGAAAGCCTTCCCAAATTAAAGCAGTGCATCAGCACTGTGAGACCCATTGAGCAGGTAAAGACAAAGATGCTTCACAGCCTGCTAGGAATCAAGCCCTGATTAAAGGTCATGCCACACTTCAGGTTCTGGTGCCTTCTTTATTCTTCCTTTATGATCTATCTCCAAGAACTTGTCTTGCATTGTCTGTTTACTTTCCCTTCCTTCCTTCCTTCCTCCTTCCCCTCCTTCTCCTCCCTCTTTTCACTTCTCCCTCCTCTTTTGTTTGCAATGTGTTGCACTTCCAATGTGGCATTACTGATTCAGTAGCCAGTGTTTTTCTTTCTGGTGGAAACAATGTCTCCTGAGACGTCTGTGGTCTCACCTGATCCTTCTCAGAACCGCAGCACTGCCTAAGCTTTGTGCAAAGCCTGCACTCAGTCATTGTCCCCCACACAGCCCAAACCGTGGCAGTGGCCTAATTATTAGCATCCTGCTCTAACTGACTGAGTCAACTAGCTGGGAAATGCTCTTCTTCATTTGCAAAGTGTAATCACTAATTAGGTAACTTTGAGAGTTTCTAGAGCAGTTATTTCAGGAAGATTCTAAATCTAAAGCAAAACAACCTGCCAGGAAGATAAAATGATGATTTTATAGGTAAGACCCAATGTAAAGCAAAAATACAAGCCCCGTATTACATTCTTTAAAAAGATTTAGAAATAGCTACTACTAAGAAAAATTCCAGAAAAAAAGTAATATATTTCTAAGATGAATTTCTTATGAAAAATTTTATTTTCATATATGTGGATAGCACAAAGATATAGAATTTGTGGACCCCTAAACTGGATATGAGAAAGATCTTCCAGTAGTAAACAGGCAAATATTTGGGATAATTTAATATGAGTGTCATTTTTAGAGAATAATAATAGCATTGCCCAGAAAAAGACTAAAATTTGAATCAGAGTCCATGCACAGTTACTCAAACATCAAATCACATGCATTCGTAATTAGTCTGGGAAGTTGCACTGTATGAAAAGTAAGTTCTTCTTGTATGTTATGACTCTCAGTGAGAGCTTAGGTTCAGCAAACAAATGGAACTTTTATTCCCCAAGGACCAGAGACTCCATTTGTCTATTTCATAAAATTTTGGTGAAAGTCCACAATGTGGTAAACTTCGTACATATCAAATATGAAGACCTCAGCTGGAAAGAATTGTTCAGAAGGAACACACAGTATTCAGGGAGAATGGCTGACATCATCAAGATTCATAAATTTAACCTGATCAAGTCTTGAATTTTAAAACATGAGGGATCTTGAAGGTCACTGACTTTGCTGCTCAGGTCCAGCTGTCTGTAGTACAGAGTGGGCAATGATTAATATTAATAAAGTGGCACAAAGATAAATGGAGAGGCTGTCCTAGTGCTGCATGACTTGTGGCGAGATCAGAAGCTGGCTTATGGACAGGTTAATCTGTAAGCCAATGGCCAGAATTGAGAATAGCAAATGGTCTGTGACATTGTGGCACCTCAAGCAAGGTAACATGGCTGCTAAGAACTTTACTCCTCCAATTCCTTTTAGCTCAATAGTCCCAGTTAGCAGATAATTAGGTTGCTAGTTACTCGTGATTGGCTCCTGAATGCTCTTCTAAAAATGCATTGTTTCTGATTCTTGAACCTTGACCACATCAAAAGTTCACCCCCACCTCTTTTTGCAGTACCCCAGCTCACCCCTGTCACGCTGTGCACCTAATAAAGGCCAAGGACACCATGCTTTGTGATCTTAGTCCTTATTGGAAACTTTGACCATTCCAGTGCCCCTTGTAACTAAAACCTCTACCTTGCCTTGTTTTTTTTTTTTTTAAATCGGTACCAGGGATCAAACTCACGACCACACACTTGCAACGCAGGCGCCGATGCCACTGAGCTAAATCCCCAGCCCTAACCTTGCCTTGTTTTAGCCGTCATTGCCTCTGAACAGAAGATTGGTAATCATAGGCCAGAGCTCTGGTACTTTGCATTTTGCCCTATAGAGTATTCTGGGCTCAAGGGAAAAAGAGTTGGTGCTGAATTCCACCCAACTTGGGTCAGCTGCACTGTTTGCCACTCTGTTCTCTGTACTTTTAGGAGAGTTACTACCTTCTGAGCATCTGGATGTTTCTCAGCTGTTCCCTGAAGAGTTGTTGTGATGATTGTGCCCTATTACGCTTTCACAGTGCCTCACCCCTAGTTAGCATGGTTATTGCAAACAGATGAGGAAGCTGAGGCTCAGGGAAGATAAACAGCTTGTCTAAGCACATAGAGCAAATTTGTGGGTCTTCTGCTAGTGTTGCAGGCAGCCCAGTTAGTCAGAAATATAGGCAGTGAGATAGGGTTAGATCCTCAAACTGTGGGGGAAACAGATACCTCCTGCTGTGGGCCAGGCCTTAAGACAAAGGATCAAACAAATGGTTCTACATCCTGGGGACTGATATTCTAATTAGTTCCCTATCACCCTGGAGTCACCAGCCCATCCCTGGAGGGGAAAGGTCACAGCTCCAAGAATGCCAGCTTCCTACTTGACTTGCTTTCCCATTTGTCCCCAATTTAATCAATTTTAT